CACCGTTGTCACCAAAATAGCAATCAGTAGCTGTTGTTCGTTTGTTTCACGACAAGTCTACACAGGTCCCTTGCATTATGATTTAAAGATCCTTGTGTCTCTTTAAGTGTACCACTGTTAAATTCCTGACTACGAGCATTGTATCTATAATCAAGATGTTATAATATAAAATAGATTGTTGATAGCAGGCTGGCGGGGCGGCTCGTGCGATCGATCGGTCGCGGCGCATTCGAGCCGCATAGGTGTGGAGGAATGCAGCCGCGGCCAGTGGGTGCTCTGCGACCACACGGTGCATACACGATACTCACGGTCAAGGACGAGTCATAAAAACTTTTTGGTCACATTTTTTTATTTTTTCTTACATTTAAAGTCACTTAGTGAGTTATCAGACAAAAAAATCTTAGCTCTTCATATGAATTAGGACAAATTTTGCGAATAAATTATAATGCACTTGGCACAGTTTTTATAATCTAGAAATTAATTAAACTTAATAAGTTGATATACAACATGATCGTAAAGAAGCTATACTACTAATATTCTACAATAGTTTTCAGTCTTGAATTTTTTAAATCGGAATTTAAAATTCCCATACGTCTGATCGATAATTTGGTCACCCTATCGTGTCATACTAGTCTTCGAGATTAATATAAAACCTGTGGAGCAACGCGTGGCGCAATATTACGGGAAATTAAAGCTGATGCAGTCGCGGTGGGAAGTGGTCTGGCTGCCGTGCCTGTACAGCTGCATAACCAAGCTATTATCCAGAGTTGCCCATTACAAAATACTTTATATTCACTAGGTACTGCAGTAAACGTGAAAAAAACGAAGCTTGTAAGAAGATGGATTGGATTGGAAAAGAATGAATTATCGTACCAAACAAGGAGTACATAAAACTGATTTTTTAAACCTGAGGAGGTCTAAAAAGTTGGCTATTTTCAAGACAATAGTTAAAATCGTGTTTCGATTTGTACAGAAAAATGTTTGAAAACACAAGATTACTAATTTTATATATATATCATAAGGTGGCAAACGAGCGTGCGGCCACATGAAATCGCTGAAATAGCGAAGTGACCGTTGCCCATAGACGTACGCAATTGCATTTCTATTTGACTAATCGTTGGTTTCTGAGACCGAAATCCCTGATTACAACATATCAGCATACCTGTCACTGAGTTCCACACAACAGAGACAAAAATGTTTCATTTTATACAGGAATTCTGCTCTCGGAAACCTACGAAAAGTGACACAGGACAATAATTGCACAGATTATTTTAAAATAAAAAAAATCTTATACATACTTCACAGAAATTCTTTATAAATAGCTTTATTGTTAACTGTACTTAGCGTTTTGTATAAAATAACAGTTATTAATGTAACTAAGTTTGAAGCGCGGATGTATCGGAGCGAAGGGGAAGGTAAACCACTTGGAAAAAACAATTCTTGTATGGTAATTTGTACCGTACATGACTTTACACTTTGAGTTACAACAAGTAAAATGTTGTCTATATTTTTGAAGGACTTTTAACATTTAACTAGAAAGTAACGTTTCTAAGGCTTATGTATTCATTCATGCGTCATCATCATCATCATCAGCTCATACGTCCCCACCGAGGGGCTCGGAGCCTACCCTAAGTTAGGGATGACTAGGCCATAGTCAACCACGCTGGACAAGTGCAGGTTGGTTGACTTCACTCATATCTTTGAATTTCTTCGCAGATATGTGCAGGTTGCATCACGATGTTCTCCTTCACATATATGTAAATCAGAAATCGAAAAACACATTGGTACGTGGTGGGATTCGAACCCAGGACCTGCAGATTGCAAGTCAAGTGCTTGACCCCTGAGCCACCGACGCTCTTCATTCATTGGATGTTTAAATTTGCCTAGGTAAATTGGTAATAAATTTTTACGATATGTTATGTATGCAACGAAAAGAGATATTTTAGGAGGTCTTAGAAAAGATTTAACTCTGTACCACGCATGGCTCGATGTCTCTCGTTTTTAGCTACCATACCTACTCGTTAAATAATTGCCCAAATTTATTTATTAGAGTCAAGGACCTTATATTGACCCTATTGCAAGAGGCCGGGTCGTTGGGCGGTGACGCACGATCAGTCGACATAGCAATTTACTAATTAAACCCACGACCTTGACGAGATGTCAGTTTTCCTGTTTTCAATCCCAATTATAACCCATATTTAATTTAAACACTTACATAGTTATGGATTCGTATTTATTCCTTAGAAGGAAAATTTTGATGGATTTATTGTAATAATAAGATACTTTGTTTAATACAAGAAAATGAGTAAACATTTTTTAAGTAAGTATTTTGAGACAGTATTAGTTAGAATCATTTGTCGCGAATGACGTGCTTTCGTTACAAAGTCCAGTGTCAGAATGAATAGTGAGGGGACATAAAAGTCGACATTTTAGTAAAGCTAGTGTTGAGTCAATACACTGGCTCATTTTCGGATTTTCTTCCTAACAATAGTAAGTTTTTATTACATTTAACTAAAATTATTGCATCCAACATTTATTCTGTTATATTGCAAATATCGAACAATCTGTTCATATTGGCAGCATATTCATGATTTAAAAAAAATCGTCACAATCAAAAGAGGATTGTGTGGGTTTTTTATCTGTTGGAAGGAAGTATCATAACCTTAAATTATCATTAGGTCATGATCAAACATTTATATACGCAAATTCTGTACGGAGCCAATCATTTAAAGTTTTTAAAGTTTTAACTAAAAGAAGAAAAGATCAGTTTAAATGTCCAGTAACTCCACCGCACAAATTACCTAACATAACTTTACTAATAACATCAAAGTAAATCTAATCATCAAAGAGTGTTAACAATAAAAATGTTGAACAATTAATCACACTATTTATGGACATAACGGCGCCATTATGAGTAATTATATAGGTAATTTATTATATATTTTTATAGCTTAAAAGACTATAAACAAGCAAATAAACATGACTCATTACAAATTGAATCTTAGATTTGAAATAAACAAAACAGTTTCTATAAACTACTAATTACTGACTCATATAAATATATGTATCAAGGAATGTTATACATAATATGTTTAAGTCAATATAAATATACATAATACATTTGATTTTGAATGTAAGTAATATTACCAAGAGAATATTAGTAAACACCATGATACATCTATTTACATGTCTTAAGACATGTTTAATATAAGTTCTCACTGCTTAAACATCTGTACTTAGGCATATGACATAATATATTCAGGAGACCAATGGTTATATCAGTACAAGACAACCAATGACCTTGTAAATGAGAAATACTTGGATACTGAAAGTGTTGTGAAGAGTCAACTAGCAATGATAAACATGTTTCTAACTTTAGCAAATGCAAGTAAATTTAAGCTTTCACATAATAAGTCATCATTGAAAAATTATTATACAAACATTTTTCTTTGTATGAATTTTCATCTCATTAATTTATCTGATAAGAAACATCATAATCAGCTCACTTTATGTCCCCACTGAGGAGCTTGGGGCCTACCCTTAGATATGGCTAGGTCATAGTCAACCATGCAGGTCCACTACAGATTGGTTGACTTCACAAATATATTTGAATTTCTGACGAGAAACACACATGTATAAAATTAGTAATTATTATGACTAATTCTTTTTGATTAGTACATAGTAAGACAGAAGAATATAAGCATTTTAAGATATCTTTTTTTCATAATACTTTGTAATAGTTTAAAAGAATACAAAGTGAACAATAACATGGTATTTTAAAAACAGCCACAACACAATGTTATCAGCAAACGCTACCTCATAATGCATTTGGGTACAAGCTTTAAATTTCCCTGTTAAATTATGCTATATTTTATTAAGCACTTGATATTTTAAAGTTAAGTTTAGTACTGTGAATTTTATTTGTTAAAAACTGGTTTAAAATATATACAAGCTTTATGAATGAAAATTACAAATGATAATTTACTTTAATAATATTCCAACAATAGAAATCTGTAAATTAACTTACTGATCTATTGTCTCAATCCACAAAACAAGCATTTTTAAATTAACAATCTTAATAACATTGTATGTCATTAAGTAACTACAACAATGTAACTTGTTATTACCAATTACTATATTTTTATAGACTTTATTTTATAAGAGAGATCAGAATTATTCCTTTTAGTTCCTATTGCTTTGTTCTTTCAAGGTGACTGGAGTAAATAGCCACATATCTTAATGCTGCCAGTGTTCTAGAACTTCAACTTTTAAACATATTGGTATTACTTAACAATATTGTCATATAAAATACATAATACAAGGAAATGCAATATCTTCCTGTCATAATTTAAAATTGAGAAACAGCTCACACAATCGTACAGCACATAGATAATGTAACAGGATATGAAACATTTGTATGTCTTATCAATGAAATGCAAGAACATTGCTACAGTTCATAGGAGTCTGATAACTAGGAAGTGTGTTGTAATAGGAAAGGGATGCATAACCATGTTATGTCAAAATTAATATGATAATGTCCATTTGCATGATAAATAAGACTAGAGATCAAATATTATATAGGTATCATAGTTTATTATGTTTATTTCACATAATCTTATAGCTATATTGAATCATTTATACTAGTAGTTTTTATTTTAATTCTAATTAAATCTTATCTTTATTTTAGTTATGAATTTTCAATCTAATTGAAAATATTTCCCTTTTTCCCTACCCCAATTGATAAACAAATTTCGAAACACATCCTTTGTTACAGCGCCTACTATCGACTTTACGAAGCAGCAATATGGTAGAAAATGATTTATTTATCAGGACAAAACATTACTTTACTTTTCTTACTATTTCACTGCGTTAAAAACATAATTTAAGCTTTAACAACATTTTAAAGACAATGGGCGTTTCTCCTCACAAAATAAGTGAAAACCGTAAACAAAAATTGCAGTGTTTGTAAACAAAAATGCCGGCGGTAATTGTTCACTCACCAAGACTTTAATGAAGCGGTTCTCCAGCTCATCGCGGTCGGGCATGGGAGGTTTCGTCCGGTTCCTCGTTGATGGCTGCCGTACATGGTTACTCTTCGTAGACGCAACTGGTCCGTCCAGCATTGTCGGCTCCCTCGAAGTAATTAAACCCATTTTACACTGATCACTTAAACAACCACCAAACACGTACTCCATCAGGTCATTTTATATCACAGGGCATCACAAAATCACAGTTTCATTTACAAAAAGTCACATTAGGCGGAACAAGCTTAACTGAAATCGAAATATGTAAACGAACGGAAGGAAAAACGCGCAAGCGACACAAGACACGACCGCGGAGGCTCGCACAGAAGTGAAGTTTGCGAGAGCGCCATTTGCTGCATTTTGCATTTGAACCTGACAGCTAACTGACAGCAGCGTGAGCGAGCCAATCAAAATGATGTCGTTCGGAAACATCACAAAAATAAAGATTAAGATTACAATTTTAAAATATGGTTTTTGTATATCAGACGTATAAAAATAATTAATAATAAAGTACACTACGATTTTTACATAAATATTCGTACGTCGCTGTTTTATTATTACGTTTATTATAACCCACGGCCCAAGGACATAAGAGTTAGAGTTAAAGTCCTATGTCCCCGCAGCGGGGCAGAGGGCGTCCACAGTGCGCCGCCAGTTCGCTCTATCCTGGGCTCTGCGCTTGGTCTCGGGCCAAGTCACCCTAATCGCCTTCATTTCGGCAGCTACTGAGCGCCGCCAAGTACATAAGCGCGCCGCTAAATGCTCTCCCCGCATCCCAAAATGCCCCTCATCACCTAAAATTGTGTTCTGCGCTACGAATCGCGCGAAGATCATAGTCTGCAAAATATCTTAAAACTAATAATGAGAGACAAGGAGTTTCCAGTACATGTGATCCTCTATGGAGTAATTGAAACTGACGAGGAGGAACGCGTAGATGTTTAGATGTAGAATATGATTGTAGAAGTGACATAGACGTGCCAGGAACATACCGAAATCCAATATTTCTTCCCACTCTTCTGGGTTATAGGCGATAATATAATTGAAATATAAGATAGAAGAATATAGAAGATATTATATTTTCCCACATTTTCCAATACAAACAAATCAGAAGTATCGTCTGACATCAATGCTACGTCCATAAACGTGCAATCAGATAAATTCTACGTCCATAAAATATAGCTCAGGAGAAAAAAAAATCAGGACGAGGTAAATGAAACACTATTATGCATACAATTTATTTATTATTGGCTTTATGTGTAGGTAGAGAAATACAGCAGTAACGAGAACATGTTATTGCCCGTGGCATATTAAAGGAATAATAAAATACACCAATACTCGTGTTAGCACCGTTTTTTTTGCTTTTTTTTTACTTTTTTTACAAACATACCATAACCTTATACAGCTATCAAAGTGAAATAACGAAAAGCTTATGGTCTTTTTAACATTTTTTTTACATACGTCTACAAATTCTTAAATATTATTAGTTTTATTATTTGATATATTGATCACACAACATTCTACAACTAGGTTAATGAACTTATAATATTGATAGACAAGTTCTTAACCATACGCAGCTCTGTCCGTGGAGTGAGCAGAGAAACATTCGAAACAATTTGGTCCGGCTTCAACAAGTATAGAGTTGTTTTGTTAATAATTTATATGAAGTCTCCACATCAAAACAGTCTTTGGTTAGGACAGAGAAAATCGGGAAACTACAAACTTAACTTAAAATATCACAAGCAAAAGACAAAATAATACCGCATACGACATCAGTCAAACTTTACATTCATATAAATTATTATTTTTATGTAAGAATCTCTGAACGAAAACTTAAAACTATAAATAGAGAATATATTTGATAACTAAGAATTACATTTTTAAATTTCATCATACAAGAGTTACATTTTAATAATCTGTAGGATTATATCAAAAACGGATGTTGCCATTTGCAAAAATATATAAAAAGCAAAGTATTAAGCGTTTAAATAAAAATTCCCCGAAGTGGGAAAGCTATAGACTAAGTGTTAGCCCTATGCTAGTGTGATGACGAACGACTAAGTTAGAACCGACAAAGGGTACAATGCACCAAGTACTATGCGAAGATCGTACAGTAATGTACATCGTTGATTTGTCAACAACTACTTATTTTACACATACTGTTTAATACTTTCGAGGCAAAATCCGCTCGTAAAACTACAACAACGCACCTTACACTACGTACAATTAAATACATTTTCATTATAGTACTTCTCTAACTGGCTGACTACAAAAACGCTACAAAGCATATTTAAATGTTGAAAATGTTTGATCTATGCACAACGGCAATTTGCTGTCATATTACAAAGACATTGACGTAATATAAACATCTGTCAAACCACTGACCTCTATATATGGACAGGCTATAAATCATGGTATTTTGTGCCTAATTGATGTTCGTCATTTTGGCGCTGACAAGAGCTGTCATTTCCAAGCAATGATCTATCCATCCACATAGATTAGTGTTAAACCCATGACACCTTACATTTTCACACAAAAATACATATTAGCTGAAAAAATCATACACTAGTTAGTTCTAACTAATGCTTGGTTTTCATAGCTACAGTATAGTACAGCCAATAAACGTGCTAACATTAATTGTGGTCCACACAAGATTAGCACCGTTTTATTCAACCACAGCGTTAAACTTCGACGCATCAAATGAAAATGTAATATACAACATAAAGGCATTCTAAATGAATCTATTACCAAGTTTCTGAATACGTACTTACATAGTTACGACATACCAACTAGACACTACCGACATCACAACAGAACAAAACCCAAAAGAAATGCTTGTAACCTTTGTAAACTAAATTAAAATAACCTATACGCGTATCAACTATCCTCCTTGAATCTTCTTAAATAGACCCTTTTATAAAAGTATAAAAATCTCAGTAACTTGATAAACTACAGCGGCATTAAATTTACAGCAATTTCATTACAACATGGTTAAAATTATTATTAATATTTTCCTAACATGCACCAAATGATCTGCTCCGATTTGATAGAATCTTATTTTACATTAGTTAAGAATATAAAACATTCATTTTTAAAGTACCTAAATATGATTAAAAACTCTATGTCAAAACTGTCAAATAACATTTTACAATAATCTATGACCATAGTGATCAACAATTTCATTTTGTTATTTTTACAACATGCAACACTTACAAAACATTTTAACGGTTGTTACTGGAACCTAATTTTTCAAATTTACAAGTTTTATTTTAAAATTGTGAAGATATTAAATTGTCAGTTATTTTTATTTTTGATTTAACATTTACGCCTATTATTACTCTACATAATTTATAAGTGCTAACAGTTATATATGTATTTCATACAACATTTATATGTAACAATTATATTGTACATGACCTAATTTTACAAACTCAAATGTCAAATACATTATATCAAAATAGAATATTATGGTTGATACTAAAATTTTGGATATTCTTAATTTTTTTAAGTTACATGGCTAAGGAAAATGTGGTTATGTGAAAATATACACAAGTGATCACCATACGCCATAGAAATCTGCAACCTTATAAGTTGCAGATGACCGGAGAGGGACGTGGTAAAGGATACCAAGGGGAGCTTGCCAAGAGGGGGCTTATCACGAGGGGCTTACCATAAGGGGGCTTATCATGAGGCCCGTTGTATGGAGAGTCTACTTGGAGGAAGGGTAGTAGTAGAGGACGGCGCAGCCGGGCAGCTGCCAGCGCGAGGCGTGCAGCTCGATGAGCTGCAGCAGGGTGCGGCGGATGCAGGGCGCGGCGGCAGTGTTGAGGAAGGCGTCGCGTACAGCAGTGAGCAGCCGCTCCAGGTCACCCGGCAGCTGGGACTCCAGGTCCCTGCCGATGTACGTCAGCACAAAGAACAGGTTTTCCGTCTGGAAAATACATAGTCACAAGTTATAAAGGGAACTTCATAATATGAGCTTCTTTTTAAATTTTCTTTTTTCTTTCACGAGTAACTTTTGTTTGAAACAAATTAATGAAAAATCTTACTATTATTATAGATACGAATGTTTGGTTAATTATGTTTTTTTAGTTCTAGTACCATTACTTATCATTTTAACTACAACTGATCTGTTATCGAAACAAAATCAAATATAGTCATTACTATTTGAAATAAGTTTGTTTATTGAAGACAGAGCAGAGTTGTAACTAACATCGCTGGGCGAGGGCACGGGCTGACGGATGCAGTCCTCGCAGCACTTGCAGATGAGGGTGAGCAGCACCTGTCCGGGCTGTGCGCTGGCGCCGCGCCTGTGTATGGCGCGCCGGCGCAGCTGGCAGTACATCTCCAGCAGGAAGGAGAGGAACGCCATCAGACGCGGCCGCCCGCCCCCCACCACCGCGCCCAGCAGCTGCAACACACATTGCATTGCTTCATTTATAACGCGACTACTATTGTCGTGAGGCAACTTAATGTCATGTTTACATTATGCCAGTTGTATGCAGATGTTGATTTTGAGCGCTACTGTCCTGGCATAATGATTTTAACTTTTGCCTTTCCTTGCTACAAAAAAAAACTGACACATTAAGCATAGTTTCGTCGAGATATATAATTTTTCTACGACGAAATGACAAAAGACACGTCCAGATTTAAAGGTAATAAAGTTACTTAAGAGAATTTATTAGATTATTTCTCATTAATAGAATCCTTGGTAATTCCAGAATAAGATAAGCCTGGCTAAACGAGAGTAGGGTTTATATGACTGTAAAGTTTACTAGTAACATTGCCTTGTTATAATAACTTAGGTAAGATGTGTGCTGTAACCTTTTCACGATCGTGGTAGCACTGCTGGCAGGTGTTGAGGAGCGACTCGAGGAAGGTCTCCGTGTGCTCGCGCTCTACGACGGCGATGCAGCGGCGCGCGGCGGGCAGCGCGTACCGCGGAGACTCCACCGCGCGCGACACCAGGTGACCCACCGCCTCCATCAGAGTGCGCGCCGCCACTGAGTTCGGATCTGAACACAACGCGACAACAATCACCTCTATACTTACCATGTTACAAGTAGACAACGGACTTTGCTCTCCTCAAATCATCTTCCATTACACAACCAAACAACCTCAACTGGTGTTTTATACAAAATCGAATCCTTCGGGTAAGAAAAATATCTTATCAAAAATTATGCCTTTAAAAGTTTTTCAAAGATTTGAAATATTTAAAAGCTACGCAGATAATACTGTAATCAAGTCTTTATATCAGACCGTGGGTTGTTGAAACCAAAATCTCCGTTTAAAACATTTTGTTTTCTCTATTTTATTAAAGACAAAGAGAGGGATGACGATATGTTTTGTACCGAGAATTTAACAGCAAAGGTGAAATTTTTCAATATTAATCTATTTGTCTCACCATCGAGTGCTTTGTCGATGCACTCCTGTATATCAGGGGGGAAGGTGCCGAGGTCCCCGGCGTCAGCAGCCAGGCCGAGCGCCGCCATGCCGCTGGCGAGCGTGTCTGCCGAGGTGAGGGACTTGGAGCGCTTGAGTCCCGGAGTGAACGACTGCGGGCGCACGCTCTTGCCGTTACCGTTGCTTAGCGACGACGGCGGAGACTTCTTCTTATCAAGCTGCTGCGGTTGCAACTTGAAGTGCACGCGAGGACCCACCTGCATACGTACAAATGCCAAATATGTAACAAAATAGCCTACTATTTGCTCATTTTAAAAATTATTACAAGCATTATTTGCAACATTTAAGCAATGAACAAAACTCATAAAGTTTGTCGTATCAAAATAAAAATCTATGTTCAGCATCGGAAACCAAATAAATTCAAGACTGCATTTGTTTTTGTAAACAAAACATGTTTTCAATTATACGATTATTCGCATGGCAATGCTGAAGATGATATAGACTTACAGGTTTATAAATCGCATCCGTATATGAAAATACACAACTTGTATTCCCACGATTAAAGAGACTGTTTCGCAGTTTAATTTGGAATGAAGACAATTTTTAGACTAAATATGTCGTATTGAGTTAATCACAGAATAACATGTGTGATAACTCACAACACAACAACACAAAAAGTTGCCATCGACGGTTACGTTGTTATTACGTGTTACACGTGTTGTTTGTTGTGCGCATTGCATTGCGTTGTGTTGTGTTGTGTTGTACTGTGTGCATACAGACCGTGGCATGAGGCACATTGCCGCTGGAAGTGGTGTTGAGCAGTGCATGTGGCGGCAGCACGGGGCGGTAGTGCGGCGGTACTTGTGCATGCAACACCGCTGACCGCGAATGCTGCAGCCCCACGCCCACACCCGCGTAGCCCACACTCATCGCTGACCTGCACAAAGTAATAAACATTGTGATACAGTGGGAATGAAATAATTACATCAAAGATGTCTTCCATACATATGACAATCAATAGCAGATATCGCATTAATCGAACCGCTAACCACACAGAGGTTAGACAAAATGCATTCGCTTCGTAGCGATTCCACAGCTAACTCCAAAAATGTATAGAACTAACGCGCGACAATCACGTGACTTATCAAAAGTTATTGTCAGCTTCATACATTTTTGAAGTTCGCTATGGTAACGCGTCGAAGCTAATGCACTTTGTCCAACCCAACAAGGTTATTCAATTTGCTTGTACTATATAACGGTGACGTCACTATAAAATCGAAATCCTTTTCTCTATCCTTTACACACACATGCAATGTTTGATAACACATTGTCTCATGCCGCTCACACATTGTTCGGCCGCATTTGGGCATGGTCGATCGTGCGGCAATCGAATTATAAACGAATTCAGCGCTATATGAATCGGAAGCGTCACTTCAATGACGAATTATACTTCCATTGGCCGATTGTATTCGATCCTCATTTAAATCATAAGGAGCAAATCGCATGAAATTGAAATATGAGCACATAATTTAAATAATACTCGTTTAACAGGTTTATGTTGCGACATCACGAATTGAACGTTGACATACTTAAAGAAAGACTTAAAAAGTTAATCAACAAGCACGCAGGCATATTGCCAATGAAAATGCGTATAGCGTAAAAATCAGAGAGTCCTTTGTTAAGTTCAAAATAAAGATTTGATTAACTGCGACTATCTCATATCAAACGTAAATCCTCACATAATAATGTCAACGTAAACTATATTAAAATGCATATCAGACATACAGTATCATCTTATTGCAACTATAATAATAATGTGGTTTCAGGTTAATTGACTTGCAATCTGCAGGTCCTGGGTTCGAATCCCGCCATGTACCAATGTGTTTTTCGATTTCCGATTTACATATGTACATTTGTCCGACGTTCTTACGGTGAAGGAAAACATCGTTATACAACCTGCACATATCTGAGAAGAAATTCAAAGATATGTGTGAAGTCAACCAACCCACACTTGGCCAGCGGTGGTTGACTATGGCCTAATCACCCTTAACTTAGAGTAGACTCCGAGCCCCTCGGTGGGGACGTATAATGAGCTGATGATGATGAGGTTAATTATTGTGTGGGGTGCTATGCACATTTATTAAATAGTGAGGCCAACTTGTCGCTAAGTGACGTGGGCCAGGAACGAGGGCAAGTGGTCATGTCCTGCCGCCGGCCCCCGGCATGTATCCAAAACACAATACAAATCACCAAAGTTCAACTTTGTTTAGTGGTCTTGTTTCTTTTGCAACAGCAAATCCAATAAAATCAACGAATACTTTCCAATTTATTTTTAAACTTGATTCCTTGACCCAACTTTCAAATGTTCACCGTGACCCAAATATGTTAATGCGTTCAGGAAGACTAAAATGGATTTAATCATAAGTGTAAAATATAAATTAAAAAAAATTAACGACGCAATACGAACAAAAAAAAAGTTTTACGTTATAACTTTTCTCAAATGAAATGTAAGAATATTTGATTTTCAAATATATTCAAAACCTAAAAAATGTTTAAATCATAATTTTACGAGGTTTGCCATAAATTGGAAAATTACGTCATGATGGGTGACATCGAAGTCAATGGTTGTTAAATTATCAATTCCAAACGAAGCGACCTTCCTTTTAAACGACAATTGCTAACACTGATGACTCAATTTGTTACTTAAAGTTATCGCACACCTCAAATTGTATCAATGTAATTAATCTTACTTCTTACTAATATAAATGCAAAAGTTTACATGGATAGATGTATGTTTTTATATTTGAAAATAACCATTTGAGTGTTTTCCGCTTGTTCGGTAGGCCTATAGATCTCGAAATCGAACGGAATCGATCGCAAAATATCTAAAAAGAATTTTCAAACTTAGTACAAGAAAATTACAGCATAAAATGATGGTGTCTATTAATCATCACAACAAAATTAAGCGCACGCGCAGTTTGCAGAGCCGCGGGCAGACTTGCTCAAGGACCGTATAGTGAGAAACTCAATACGAAGTGTTCGTATTACTGATGCGGCGCGGCGTCCACGTAATACATCTGACTCACTGTAGACCATTGCGGAAACTGCCCAGCACTAGGATTATTGGATTACAAATCAAACAATTACGTTCGAAATGTTTTGCTGTAGAGGAATGAACCCTTCCAAATTATAATACATGGGAAGATACAAGGCAGAAATGCTATAGAAGCTAAGAAAGTCACGATATAAAGTGGATAGACATCGCTGTAATGTCCAAATCACAAATAGCCAAAATTACAGCCGACTTCTTGTAGAAGATGGCATTTCAAGAAGTGGAATGAAGACTAGCGTCCTTTGTGAGAGCTGTCTCTTCTTATGGTCGTGCATTCAATGTTTTAAGCCTCGAACTTCATTTTTCAAAGCTTTTAAGACAACAGTGAAACCAGTCTAAAAATACACAGCTACAAATGTCAGCAATTAGTACACAAATATAAGGAAACAAAACTACAAAAAGCGTGATTTACATTTGTTAAACAAAAACGTAACTAGTCTCAAGTGTTTAAAAAGGTCGGTGGCAAATAAGTCCAGAGTATGACGCCGAGACTGCAAGTATATGACCAGAGAAATTGAAGACTTCCTTCAGAAACATAATGGGTCATTTAGTGGATGAGTAAAGTGTTACTAAGGTTCAAGGAACGGCATGTGAGCTGCTTAATATTAATATTACCTTGTCGATAAACAAATAATGTTGCAGATAGATATAGACAGAAAATCCCTGAAATCTCAAAACAAAAAGAATAGTCTTTCTTGCTTCTAAGGAAAATAGGCTAAAATCAGAAGAATAAGTAATTTCTAGGTATGTATATATGTTTGTAATTTATACGTTTTCTAGTTATCGAAGGAGCTAGTTAGATAAGTACCACCCATTTGATCTGTAATAAACATTGTTGCATTTCATAACCCAAGGATCAGTTCCCGCATCATCAAAGCAAAGTAATTGATTCAACAGTTTTTAAATTAATAAATAAAACGGTGACCTATTGGATTTCAAATCTGAATGTTTTTAAATACGATCTTGTGAAAACATTATCAGAAATGAACATTTTAAATTGATCAGCAGCCAAAAATATTAATGACACAAAGTACTTTATTAAAATAGTTAACTAGTCGGTAAACAATACATTATTATGCAAAGGAAGTGACCCATCAAATACTATGTAACCATTTATGTCGACGGAAACTGCTTAATATGTAACTAAGGTCCCGCCCAAAGCAAAACGTTATTAAAAAATAAATCCTCGAGTTAATCATATTCTATTTACTCACACATCAGAAGTGGAAAATCTTCCTCGAACCATCTTTACAAAAGGACCACTGCATTCGTCAAATATAACACAGCGTCTTCACACGAACCACGTCGTAATCATTACAATGTTTATCTTGTATTTAGATACAGCACTGTTTACTGTACAGACAACATCAAACTGTATCGCAGCATACGTTTAGAAAATCCCTCTACAAACTTGGCAATCTGTTGCCTTGTATTTACGTTCCGTTTCAGCTCATAGCATCAACATTTTATAAATAGACTTCGTTCCGAGCCAAGTAATTAAGCTACACGTAGCTCTCTACACAAAATGTATTGCATCGAATGTGTTTGGTTGTAGTCGCACTCGGTCATAAGGTACAACTTTCGCTTCGTTCGATCGTGTTCGTCTTGACATCGGTCGGGGTTGTTTCGGGAGCGCGCGTATCGAAGCGCTTGCGCGAAATGCGCGTGCGCAGCAATGGCAGCCGTGGCGCGAATACGAGCCGCTTTCGGCGCGAGTTGGGCGTGCTAGCGTCACCACACCCGGCGACTAAATGATAACAATCCTACAAATTACACTACACATGACGTCTCGGCAACTCTCCGTTCAGTCTGCATTGGTGGCGTGCCAGCGGGCTAACGCCGCCGCCCCCCGCTTCTAATACAATCTGCATCGCAAGGTCAAGCGTGAAAAGCCGCTCGTAAACGCGGAACGTCGCTAAAAGTTAATTTTGGTTGTTATTCACGAGATATGTTGTTTATTTTGGAAAGAACAAAAGCAGTCTTCATAACACAGAGAGACTGTTCGCATTCAAAGTGTTACAAATGAAATAAACGTCTGCCGCAGGCTGCTTTGGATGCTTGATAATGTTGAAATCTTATTTAAGTAGATTTAGTAGCAGTACAGATGAGGACAAATTGCCTACCTACTTACAAATTCTACCATAATAGTGACAAAAAATGCATAATTTTTGCCAACAATATTGCAACAGTCAGTACACTTACTGTTAGGTTGAAAAACAATTCATTCATCACATGCGCGAGGTAAAGAAAAGTAGCCGGCAATCATGAATGTATCTAAAAATAAACAAAAGCCACAAGCCGTGCTTCCCTCATTGAGCACACACACTATACTAAAATATATTTTACTGCGTAATGAAATCATATTCTCACACAATTTTGTCGAACTACGAAGATCTGCGTAGTTTCACCGTCCTACACCATGTTTGTGTTTTGAAATAGTAAAGTGTTGAAGTATAAAACGGTTGTTATAACTACAAGCTCTTGATCAATTCACACCACCTTTTTAATCCAGAAGAAACGATAAATGTAAATCAATAAGTTAAGGACGTAACTACTGTCAGGAAGAAAATCCGACACTGTGCCGGTGTATCGGCGCAACACTAGCCTTATTAAAACATCGACGTTTATGTCCCCTCACTAATCAATCTGACACTTAACTTAGTAACGAAAGCGCGCCTTTCGCTCTAAATTATTCTTACTAATAATGTCCAAAACTACTTAGTTCCACCATAATTTGTTACATTTTAGCAATCACATTACTTGGATATGGGATATTTTTGGGACAATCATAAACCCTACAGACACAATGATTATTTGCGCTATTTTGCTACCGAATTATATAGCTATGTCCAATGTATACATTAGTTCTAGATAATCATATGACTTCGACTCACCTATTATGCAGGTCAACAGGCTTGGCCATAGTGAACTCCTTAGCGTGGACATTCAGCTTGTTGGTGGGCGTGGTAGTAGTGCCTGTCGTACCAGAGCTGGTCGTACCGGCCGTGGTGCCAGGCGTTGTACCCGCCGTCGTACCAGCTACAGTCGCAGCCACGCCGTCTGTGCGGACGCCTGGCGGTCAACGGTGGTCGTCAAGAGAAGAGGTGATAGGACAGAGGGTTGTGGGCGTATGAACAATGAAAGGAGTGTACCAGGTAAAAGATTGCTAATGAGTGCGATGATATAATTTGTATTTTATAGATTTAAAGCGTTGAAAGATAGCAACTTTAACAGTGACTTAGAATTAAGATTAAGGTCTTAGGTTTATAGAATAGATACATAAGTAAATACATATACTTATATTAAATTATCATCATGTTTTCTAAAACTATTTTAGTCTTACAAATATAAGTTATTGGATTAAATTGTTACGTTACATAAAAACAGACGGCGTATTATTTTCATTTATTGATTTTAATAATTTATTTTCTGTTGTTTTTCTGAAGATGTTTTAATCTGACAATATTCGTTTCCCACAATCAAAACTGTATAATAAAAGAAATCCTATCACAGTAGTAAAAGCCTGAGCCCGGCAGAGCACCGTAGCGCTGCGTTTCGGTCAAATGCACAAACTTTCATAAAGATTTACAGCGAGTCTACCGGCCAATTAATTGTAACTCTTCGCAAATGGTTTTCTATTCTATTATTAATATCGTATTTTATACTGTAAATCTTAAAATAATTAATGACAAGATTAAGATTAAATTTCTTCGAGTTTTATTTACAAAAACAGTATATATATTGTTATAAATTGGTTAGAAACGACGCTTTGTTCGAATTGAAGTTTTGAATGAACGAGTACACTATCGTGGACTAAAACTGACTAAATCAAAGACAAAGAAGTTCAAAGAAACCTGAACTTTCAGTGACGACATGAGGAACGTCCGCGGGAACAACAGCGGCGGCGGCGGGCACCGTCACGGTGGAGACGGGGGATGCCGCAGGGGGCACTGCCACCTCCGTCAGTGGCTGTGCCAACGGCTGTGCCAGCGACTGTTTCACTATGCACCTCGACATTTCTTATTTCTCGTACACATCAACACAAACAGAAGCGTCCACATTCGCGCTGCACTGACACAAACATCGGACTGTCGGCGGCGCGTTCCAAATTTGATGTTTTGTTTATTTTTAATTTTGGCGCCAATTTTATTTGGCGATGGTTGCCAGCAAATACAACCCACGGACGTATTTCGCGATGAAAAGTTAAAAAAATTATAATTTATAAAATTGTCATTCATTTAGGTACTCATTTTATTAAATTACAAATTTATTTCATTTAGGAAAAAAAATAATATAATGCGCTTAATCCACTTATTTTGACATCACTGAAAAGTTTCTATATTCTTTGGCAAACGTTTATTTTTTTAGGTTATGTGTTAAATATTTTAATTATTATTTAAAAGTTATTGTTAGGAATTAATATATAATGTAAGGAAATTTAGGAAATAGGATATTAATGTAACGTTTTCTAGTAAGGTTAGGTCTCCAATAAGTGACTAACCGGGGGGTCTGTAGATTTCAAGAGTAGGCTTCCCCTTTGCATTGGTCAGGATCATGCTGCGCCGTTTCCCATTGTTCGGAAACTGTAACAAGACAATTGTAAGTTTATATTAATATAAGTGTAATGAAACAGCTTGTTATTAACATACTTCCTATCGTTTAATTGAAAGTAATTGTTTTCCAAACATTAAGACTTTATAGCATTCTGCCGCGGCGCAGTCCGCGCGACGTAATAACACAATTTCTAGGTTATGTTCATCCAGACTTTGTTCTATATGCATGTCAAATTTCATCAAGATCTGTTGAGTTGTTCTGGTGATACCTTGTAACAAACATCCATCCATCTACCTAAACTGTCGCATTAAAATGACTGATTGCGGTCTTTATAATATTCATGTAGTGATTAAAATTATGAAATTTACATTTTGATGATGAAAATCTATTCCAACCTCAAATGGAGAACAAGAAGATGATGATCTGCATATAATACACAGTTATGTACAGCAGTCTATGTTTATCATAAGTGATAGAAGGGATCCAAATTAAAATTGAATGGAAATAAAACCAAAATTCATTTAAATTGTCTTTTGTTGTCTTTTCTAAATGTTTGATGTTGCTGTGATGGACACTTTACACTTAAATTTTTTGCAACGTTTCTCTACCGTGTAAAGTTTTCTAAGAATGATTCAATTTGAGGAATTATCACGATTTATTTTCGCGTACGAACGTTATACAAGATGACTGTTGTTAGACTCATCGCCTAATATAACGTTGAAGGAGATCTTACTCATAATTGAGTATCATATTTAAATTTTGTGCATCACGCGGTTTTGTCTTATTTTAACTCGGTTCAATACTTTGAACTAAGTAACTGTTCTCTTGATGATGTACTTTTACAAAGGTATTCTACGATAATCCTTCCTAATATTATAAATTCGAAAGTTTAGATTGTTGGATGTTAGAAGGTATCTTCCGAACGACTCGACAGATCTTGATGAACGTACTGATGTAGGACATAGTCTAGAAGAACACAACACTTATTAAGTTTTTAAAATTCCACGCGGATGGAGTTGCGGGCGACTGGTAATATTTTATATAGTAATATCGTACAGATGATCCGGCTATTGTAATTCTCGGTTGTTGACCTACCATTGTAACATCTTCACACGAATTGGCCCGGCTCGCCCGGTGAAATACCACGACCACACAGAAGACAGGCGTGAAGTGGAAGCAATTCCGCGTTTCGTCTGATGAGTGTGCGGCCCGGTGGCCTAATTTCGTCCTCTTTCCCTTCCCATCCTTTTTTTAAAGGGAAAGGATGGGAAGTGGAAGTGGATTTTCCGGCTGAGAGGATGCATGGAAAGGGGGAATGTTTTCTTTCTGTGCATCCTCTCCTCCATCGATTAAAGGTAGGCAACGCGTATGCAGTTGCGTATGTCTATGGGCAACGCTCACTTCCCTATTTCAGCGAATTCAGGTGGTCGCTCGCTCGTTTGGTATATAAAAAAATGTTCTAAGTCGATATGCAAAGTTTCTGATCCAAAACAATTTAGTTCTTAATGTATTTTATTTAAAATAAAAAAAAAGTAGTAAAAATGTATGTAATTCTAATACATACAAATGTCTAGTTCCTTGCGGTTACTGCGAAACGTTGTGTTTCTTCTTATGACATTGAAACAAACGACTAAGAATACGCCCACTATTTTATTACACAACTTTTGCTTCAGTTGAATAACTTGTTAACTTATAAGAATTAATGTTATGTTTACAATAATACAGTTAAAATAATCGTTAAATCTCTAAGTTATTATATGAAATTATATTTTACGTTGTAAGTTCCGAAAAGATTGCTAAGTAAAATACGTTACCACCAAGTAACGCGAATTTACGTAAAAAAAAAGGTTAGAATCACACAAAATGGTGGAGAATAGCTTACTAATATTCGTGTGCTACTCCAGAATATCTTACTTCTTACTAATATTATAAATGCGATGGATGTCAGTTTGAAGGTATTTCCAGAACGGATGTATGGATCTCGCTGAAATTTGACATAGATGTAGAACATAGCCTGGAAGAACACATAGGTTACTTATTAAGTTTTTCTTTAATTCCACGCAGTGACGCGTGCGACAGCTAGTAGATTTTCTAATGCTGATTAAGGACAACATTAAGGTAATCAAGTTCTGTTAGATGTTAACGTAGGCGGTGTTATATTGCGTATAACGCCTCCTACATGCTTGTTGTAATGTCAAAATTTTAATAAGCGACCTAACCTTAGTTTCTTTTAGATTTTTTGTCTTGAATTAATTATATTAGACGATTTTTATTCATCACGGTTAACGACGAGCCAAATTATGATCAGTTCAGTTCAGATAAAATTACTTTTAAGTATATAGTTTCACAAATATGTAAAGATTGAATAAACGTGGGTTTGCGAGACCAAATTTATCTTTTAAAAATGTATGTATGCCAAAGAAAACGACAGGGATGAAAAGTTTTTTGGTTAATTACAATATCTACTGTTCCATTGCAGAGCGATCGTGATTGTACTATGTTACCGTGTACGTAATACTAAGAAATAATTATTAAATAATTACCTGGTTGTGATGCATATTGTGATGGGACTGGGGGCGTATGAAACTGCGCTCCCGCATGATGACGCCGGGCGACGTAAAGTCCTGCATCCTGTAACTGCGCTGCAGCTCTCCCATTTGGGCTTGCATTTTCACCGACTCTATCGTCTAACTTTTTAAATCGTCGACAGTTTCCGCCTTTATAACTTCGCGCCTTTTTTGACAGATGACGTACGCGCGATGCGTTCTTTAACGCTTTCACTTTTTCTTTGGTTGATACGCGTTCAGTTAATTTTTAGTAATTTACAATGATACTTTTCTACGAAGCTCTTTTAAAATAATTTTATTTATTCTATAAATTATATGATTATTTAATAAAATAAATACACACTAGATGAATGACTAGTATAACAGTTACGTTTAAATAATATTAATATGTTTTTTTTTTAAATACTTTCATTTATATTTACAATATAGGTGTAAAATGTTAAAGTGTTTAAAGCGGGCAACATTCACGTTCTAAAGCGTGCGCTATATAGAAGCTATTATATTAAAATAAAAAAGTTAATCACAATTAAAATGATTGTGACGTTAAATTAGAGATCAATACTCCAATTTATATATGCATATATAAATCTTAAAACAAAGAAACCCCATCTGTCGTGGCCACTGATAGAGGGATTTCTGGACGACTTTTTCGAGTTTTTTTTTTCGTTTTTCTTAATACGACTTATAAAGAGCGGTGCAGGTTTGGTTGTTGCCTGACAGTCACAGAGCGATTATTAACAATATTTCGAGGGGCAAAGAAGCAAAGCTTCTTCGGCGCCAGACTCGATTCGTTTTCGGAGAGTTCTCGGAACTCTAATCTGTAACAAAAAAAAGGTTAAATATACATTTGCAATGAAACGGATTAATGCGCGGGGAAATTAAATTACATTAATATTGGATAATTATAAAGATGAAATAGAAACCCAAGATATAAAATCAGATAGTTTTAAGCATCGACTGATTTTATAATATTTCAATCGCCACATATAGCAGTTTGCAACTATCTAAACTGAAAGCAAATTCCAATGACCAATCTATAATATTTATGTCTGTGTACTACTGACTATCTTACCGTGGCTTTCTGAGGCCAAAATCCCCTTTTAAAACAAATTATTATCTCTGTTTTGTCAAAGATAATGACAGAGATGACGATATGTTTTATACAGAGTATCTAGTCTCAGAAACACACGGTTAAGTTTATCTTAATTTGAGTTGATGAAGAAACAAGAATAGTTGAATCATTAAATTAAAAAGCAATCATTAAATTCATTGAAATAATTAAATTATAACATTTATATAGGAAAATTTCTTTAACAACTCGTTATACATTTTTCAGGCGTCCAAGGCCATACGTTTCTGTTGCGAAGCATTAAAACCGGTTCGCGGTACAATTGCAAAAAAATGAAACAAGTGAAGCCGTCGATACAGGTTTAAAGTTAATCTACTCTGTATACAAACACGAAAGTTCATAAGTTAGTTACGTAAATAAAAGGTTATATGATCCCTGGAGACTTAACATTATTTTTATCCAAGTCACGGAAAGGTAACAGTCTTCATGGATATATTTTTATGTTAAACTGATATAAAAACGGCTAAACACTCACGTATATTCGTCCGGTAGCCCGATGGGCTCGAAACTAGTCGTTGTCGCCACCGGACGAATATACGTGAGTGTTTAGCCGTTTTTATACCAGTTTAGTATCATGTCTCACGAAAGTTTGAATAATTTAATATTTTTATGTGTAGTAACCAAGGCATTTGTAGAACGAAATTATCTTAAGCCTTATGTTCATTTTGTATAGTATACCATACATACAACTTTAAAAATATAAGATCACTATAAAATAATTTTTAACTAAGTTTTATTTAACTTTATTTTTTGCTTTTCTTCAAAAAAGAATACTTGCCACAATAAGGGTTAATAGTGACCTTAGAAGCTAGAGTTTAAATACTTAATTGGATATAACTCTTGATTTTTTATAGAGTTCATTGTTTTAACCGTGGTAAAAATTAGTAAAGTTACCGTGGGTTTACGAGACCAAAATCTCTTTATAAATCGTCACTCCTATCTTTCACGTTTGAAAAAACAGATATATGATTTAAATGGGGATTTTGGTTTCAGAAATTCACAGTCAGTCAAATAAATTTAACACTGATGGATACTATGTAGTTTGTGCATGATAAAACTAAAATCGATTTTGTTAGCGAGTTTTTGAGGAATGCTAAAGTGATTTATAACAATTTAAACTTTTATTATTAGGTAGATTTAGCTGCGAGAGTTGGTTCGCAGAAGCTATATTTACTGGCACTAATGTAAAGTTCTTGTAGAGCCAACGGATAACGGTGCAATTAATTCTACGGCACGCCTTTACGAGATACGACTAAGGTTGCCAACATTCAAGAAACAAAGACTTGAAGACTGGCAGCGAAGAGTGTAGAAAAAAAGAAAAAAATTATCAATAACTTGTGAACTAAAATTAGAGACATCGATGTTATAAACCTTCATGCTTTATTGAAACGCGCAATGCACGGATCAAATGTAAAGAAGTGACAACCCTAGTTATGACCGGGTGTGCGCTCAGTGTCACAACGTGAATCTATTAATAAGACTATTAGGTGCAGAGTTCAAGAATTTGTCAGCAGAAATGCATTATATCTAATCTCACACTGTACATCTAAATGGAAATAGCAGACAACGTACACTATTATCCAATAATTAAGAACTTCGACAGTTTATACTTAATTTGTTAAAGTGTAGATTACGTTAATTATATAAGTGAAGTCAGAGAAAAAGTTTAGGTTAGTGACGTTACAAGTCAAAGTGATCCTGTGCCCAATTTGATGATAGTTTAAATGTCTAGTCTGATTGCAATGTGTCTCAGTTTATAGTTATTCGGTAACATACAGAAAGGATAGTCGTGTATCTGTGCCGGTGGTATGTGTTGGTGACTCACCGCTCGCTCGTTGTGCGCCGGCCGTCGTCGTGGTCTGCACTCGGTACTCGTTCACTTTGCTCGTATTTGTTTCACTGTGGACATTTATTTATATTAAAACACGATCAAACCAACTATAATTTATACCAAGAAGTTTATATTAGCTGTATTTGTATATCAAAGGAAGCAAAGCATTAAACTTTTTTCAAAGATTCCTATTTCGGTTTTCGGATGGAAAGGATACTGACTGTCGTAAATCCTGACGGATCCACGATTAAGAATAATGTTGTAATTCTTCCGATTTAGTTTAATTTACGTTTTAATCCTATTCCATGAGCAACGACTCAAATGATGATATGAATTATACAGAATAGTCTACTTGTAATAGATTACCTAAAGTCAGACAGAACTTAATATAATGATGAAATAAAAATTTAAAACTATTTCCATATTGCAGTACCTTAATAGTGTATCAAATACTTTGTCTACTTCACTATAACGGTAGTCTGTGGATGCACGCGAGAGTCGCAACAGCCAGTGCAAGCATTCTGCTGTACAAAATGAGATCACTGCTTTTCAATAACTCATTTTTAACTTTCCGTTACTCCATTATTAGTTTTTTGTTAGGTAATGACGGATTGAATCACAAGAGATTGTACGAAACATTTAAAATTATATTTACTAGTATAGCATTTCTCAAATATTATTGATACCTTATTGAACAAAAGGTGTACCTGAGAACCTTACAGTCTAGATCAGTCTTTCCCAAAGTGCAGGTCTCAAGTTGCAGGTTATAGTAAAAGTTTCGTTTAGAATTCTCCGTTAATATACATATATAGGTCACAATAATTAATTAATTTAATTTGAAGTTATAGTGGTTTTTAAATATGTGATAACATGGGGGCGCTAAAAAAAATTATTCTCAAAGTGGGCAGTACACGAAATAAGTTTGGGAACCACTGTTCTAGATTTTGATTTGTGATTATATTTTCTTTTTTTTCACAACAATAAGATATTTTTATTCACGATCTTAGAGTTCCTGACAGTCTTGTTTAGTCTCATCTCGTCCGATTTTTAATAGGAATCATAATTCATTTGATCCCATCGTATTATAATCTTGGGCTCCATGCAAGACCCCGGCTCACTTTAATGCATGATTACATAAACACTTCTAAAGTCAAATTCCTTACAAGGACAGGACGAACCATAGGTAAATACTGGAGAACACACCCATCTAAACCATCAACCGCATCGCAGATCGCATCTCGACACGCCGGATAAAATGAGGCGCGAGTCACCCGCTGACATCACCGTGTTTACACCGACCGTCTCTTACACAAGCCACATATATCGTATCATGAACTTCTAATGCCACAAATAAATTTAGACTTTTATTCATTAGAATAAAGTAGGTTTTTGTGTGGCAGGTTTTAGTACAGTTTGCATTACATTTTGCATCTGTATACACATAGTTTGAGGTTCTAGGTCGACGCGCACGAGTGTGATGTCTTTGTTTTTTTTTCGTAATTTCGATTTTAAATACAATATGATTCGATTGAAAAATGTACGTTCGTGACAGGATGTTGTTCTTCTGTTGGTTTTAAATGTGTGTTTATAATAAAGAGATTTATTTATGGAAATTTTTGCTATTCTTATAAAGACGGACAAGAATTTAAATATCATTTGCTGATGTGATTTAAGCAAAAAAATCCTCTGCGAATCCCTTTTTTTTAATGCATTTAATAAAAAGCATATTTGCATAGATTTTTGTTGTTTACAATTTATTAGTAGCGCATCTGTCATGTGAATGATGCAATGCTTTGTTCAGATAAAATACTAATTTCTTTAATAGTTTTTCTCTCCCTCTCTCAAGGTGTCTCTCCATTTAATGGAGGTTGGCCGTCAGCTCAGTGAACAGTGAATAGTTTTTAATAAAACTAAATAGGTGGAGAACAATTTTAAATAATAATACTCTCGACTTTGAATAACCAAAATAAAGAAAGCAGTATCGTAAAGAACCTTTTTTTCTAAATACGATAAAAGTAATTAAATGTTTCAGGTTCTCTTTTCAACTTAGTTTTTTACCATCGGTATTTTATAAAACTTTTAGTATAATACCTGAGTTCAGGGATTAAAATATAATCTGTTGTATTTAAATATGTCTTTACATTGGTAAATACTGTATGCATCCACAGGTGTATTGCATTATTGTCATGGCCGCCGCATTTCGCGCCTTTTTTGCCGCCAACACAAACACCCGCGCGTCTGTCATTGATATGTAAAGTAATATATTTAGCTATCCATTGCGCGTGTTAGCTTCTAATTAGCGTAGCTGTTAAACCAAAGACAGTAATGTACCCTGGCGGGCTGAATCGCTACTATATTAGTTTTAGAAACAACGAATACCGTTGTGCTGACGAGTTTTAATAATTAAAAATCGGTTCAACCATTCCTTTGAACCGATTTATTAATTTCTATTCGTCATATATTATAGCTATTTCTTTAGATAAAGTACCCTCCGTACATGGTAAAGTATTTTTTATTGATTGTCAGATGGCAAACGAGAAAATGGCAACCTAATTTATCTAAAAATGGCCGCCATCTATAGACATCTACGAGAAGTTAGAAGGTTGCAAATAACCTAGTTATAATAAATGTAACAAAACATATATAATAGCTTCAATATGCTTGTTAAAATATAGCGGTAAGCTAGTTTCCCGGGACAGGTCGCTACTTTCTAATGCGTTATTGTCTCCATCCATTGTTATAAAACATAATTTTATGTTTATCTAACAAATTTATAATTATTGTTAATGTTATTAAGAGACAAGAGTAGCAACATTAGGAAACCGGTTAATTTATTATTATAGCTAAGTTATTTTCAGAATAATACGCAAAGGGAACAAGGAAAAGCTTAAGATAAGTTTGTTTTTGAAGACAAACAAAACTATTATCGGTGAACATTTTTTCTGACTAAAGTACCATCACATGACATGACAATAGGCCTCCGATAATATTTAAATACGATAAATGGAAATACTAACCTAACCTAACCCTGAAAAGCAGTTAGTAATAAAATAAGACCTAGGAATTCCACATACATAGTAAGGATTCAGACTTGCCTCAATATTAAAGTGATTGGATTTATCTAAAGAGTAGTAGAAATCAAATTGTTTTATGCAGCGTTAAAAAATTGCAAATTAGTAGCATCTCACTAATATTATAAATGCGAATGTTTAGATGGATGGTTGTTTGTTTGTTTGAAGGTATCTCCAGAACAGCAGCATGAATCTCTGTGAAATTTGGCATAGAACAAATAGGCTTCTAATTATTTAATTCCGCTCCAAAAGAGTCGCGAGCGACACAATCCAAATATAAAAAATTATATTCAACATAAATTCAGAAAACAATGGAGAGTTATCACTTGGCATAAAAAATATAATCGACAGAGTATAAAACATAATGGCGGGCAGGTAATTCAGCACAGATTCACAACACGCGATTGCTGTAACTCCGTCTGGCGTCCGCGAGCTCAGTTTAAGGGGTGAGTGACCTTACTCAATGGCCCGTATCCATTCGCTAGGTATCACTCGTTGCCCAACAAAACCAACATTGCATCTTGAAAATTACATTACCTTCGCAAACAGCTTGCCTAAACCAGTAAACCTAACAATAACGCCAAAGTAATCATTCAACACGTAATAGAATGAAGTTTGTCTATAAATTATTATAATTTGTTTAAAACCAACACGCGGAACTAATGATGTGTTAATGTTTAATTACATCTTGAAAAAAGTATTGAACTGTTATGCATTATTTGCAACTATAAGCAGCTCGCAACTCGTCGACCAAGATTCGATTCCGTCATAAAAGGTTCTTGTTAATAGGTCTGTAAAATCGCTTAGCTTATTACTATTCAACTTGTAAAATTCAATAAGCTAGGCTTAATTTTAAAATGTTAAAGAGTAATTGCTGCACATAAGGTGTACGTTTTCACATTATCTATTGAAGTTTTGAATAATAGACGTAATAGGATTTGTTATAATAGCTACATGATTGTGTAGCGTTATACAATGTCTTTTACAAGAAAAAAAATGTTTTCAATCATTTGTAGAAATAGTAGAAATGTAAAAATAGATGTCTTTGAAGTCGTATACACGTGCGTAAATGGATTTTCTTTTTAGCTCTACTTGAAGAATTTATATCCGTACATATGTAATGTAAATGCTAAGAGGCTGAAGTATTTAGGCCACAATAGACGTCTAGGTGAAGTCTGAAACCGTCTCTATAGATAACAAATTCAATTTTGTACAGCCTCGAAGCAATTAGTCAATAGAGATCCGCGTTAGTCGTGTAGGCGAGTCCGAATAATCCGCTCCCGGTCACACTTTCGTTTCATTCATTCGGTCATTTTTCCTGCAAACTGCTGAAAATGTGCCACGTCAATTATTTTATTACAAATGTGGATCAGTCGTGAAAAGTTGTAACTAGTCGAGGGAAACGCGTTAAACGCATAACCTCTCCCTCGATGCAGCGGCCGAAAATATGTGCGCACTATATATAGCGGCTTACGGAATATCATGAAGCGTTTCCTGATGTTGTGGCTTTATATACTATCTTTACTCACCAGATCGTGCGCTGGCGATTCCAATACGTTCGTTGGCGTATCCGCGGTATATTTCACTGAAATTATATTGATCGCGTCGCCTTTCGCTAGCGCAGAGTCCGGTCGTGTGGCGCCCGCCCGGGCGGTGTGCCGACTGACGCTGCGCGCGCGCACACGCGCCCCGCTCGTCCGCAGCGCAGACACACTCGGAGCACCGTGTCTTCAGCAGAAATATTGGCACATATAAACCAACGCTCGATTGTATATTAATGGGAATAGCACTGTTTCTGATCCTGTATTGAAACACACAAACTTCAAAATTTAAATTTCCTGTTTCACTGCACTTTCTTGTGTTTTTTTTATTTTTATATAGCGGCTAGGCATGAGTAATGCCTGTAAAGTACACTATTATTGTCGAATTTTTGTTCTAACGTTTGTAAATTGGTTGTGTAAAACAGTGTGGTGAGGAACGAGGAGCGGCGCGGCGGCGGTACGACAGCAGTTGGAAAAGGTCTCGCTCCATTGAATGCATGAATCAATGTTTGCTCTACATTGACGTCGCGCACTGCTCGCTTTCCACGCGGCGAGAGCTCAACACCGCTGTCATCATAATATACGCTTCATAGATTGTGTTAATTGCATTACATTTTGGATAACTAATTTAACACTTTCATTTCTTAGGTTTTGATTATAATTTATATAATACATTTAGTTCTAATGCATTTATCACCACGCTTTTCGTGCATGTTAAGTACAAGGACAACGCTACCACTGCATTACTAAATCATATTTCTATCTCAGTTTCTTCAGAAAGAATAATAAAGATGACAATATCATTTTTTATATTTATGTTTAAACGCACGATCAATGTTCGCGCTGTGTCGTGAAGAAGTAAAATATCGAGAAAAAATACATTAAATTATAAATAGTAGGGTTTCGTTTGCTTACTGCGGCACTTCAAAATATCCTAATTCAACATTACCTAAACTATCGGCGTTAACAATTTTACAGTGACTACGAAAATACACGGCTAATTTCAAGTAAAAGCTAAAGTTTATAATATTTAGTTCTTGATTTATTGAGTTTACAACAAATTTCACATCTATTTCGCTTTCCCGAACTTTGTGTAGCTTACCTGTTTCTGCGTCAGGTTGCTTTTCGTTCACTGGATAAGCCGGCCGCTGTGACGTTATCGGAATCGGGTCTCATGTTATTGCGCACTAGTAGTACTAATATTTTAATCACTTTAACATTTTTAGTTTAAATATAACATACCAGAGGGCATAGACAAATATTTGGTACCAAGTGTTCGTAACATCCTTGACAAAAATTTTGCAGCGCCCCCTATTGGGCGTAAAGTACACTAAAAGTTTCATATTTCGATGACGTCACGAAAGAGCGTGTCGCAAATATTCGTGCTAGGCCCTCAAAACGTAAAGCCTTTACGTTTTCCGCCGCGTAGTCACTCCGAAGAGCGGGACGAGACATATGTAATATATTTCTGTCTCTCTCGCTCTTCCGTTCAGATTTTATGAATTTCTATGATTGGATATTATTATTAGCTTAAGTATTTGTTTTTTCGTTTTTAATTTTTCTAGAAATCACTGTAATGGTAAAAAAATAATCACTTTTTGTTTTTTAAGTAAATCAAATATTTTTTCATATATTTACATAGTTTTATTTGACTTAAATGCATGTCTACTTAATACTAAAATTTAAAATAATCCCACAACGGAATGTTTCTAAACTAAAACAAATTAATTAACTATTCAAAACGAGCACAATAAAAAAATAATAAATAGCTTAATATAAAAATTAACTAATAATTATTAAAAAATCACTTTCAGCTTTTTCACTTTGGTGATATTTATTTAGTCAACTTTTAATAACAAAATACATTCATCTCGTTTGTACAAACTCTTTTCATGTTTAAATATTTTAAATCACAATAGCATAGCGTTTGAAACATTTTTTTTCTTTAGGAAAGAGAAACCTCAGGCCATTCGTATACAGGACACCGTAAATCTTTGAAAGTACCCTACTATTGTTAGGTAGAAAATCCGTCACTATCCTGGTGTACTGGCACAACACTAGCCTTACTAAAATGTCGACGTTTATGTCCCCTCACTAATCATTCTGACACTTGACTTTGTAATTGCCATTCGCGACAAAGGATTCTAACTAATGTCTAAAATTATACACAACAATGAATCGTCGACGCAAATCATTCAGTAAGTACAGGCTTAGGCTTACATATCAACTGTATATTTGCTTTACCATGTTGAGAATCGCAGTGTCTTTTCTTGCAACAATGACACAAATGTCGACCACGTGTGCCTATATAAAATTGGCAGATTTTGAGATTTACATCGCCTTGTGTATACAAGGGGGACTAGACAAAGTGCATTCAATCTGTAGCGATTACATAAAGATTTTCAAAATTGTATAGAACTGACGAGCGATAATCACGTGACTTGTTGAAAGTTTTTTTTTATAACAGAAGGGGGCAAACGAGCAGCGGGAACACCGAGGTGTTCAACGATGCTCATGACATCAGCAATACCAGAGGAACCGCAGATGCCTTGCCGGCCTTTGAGGTGGTGATAAGCTTATTGTCAGTTCTATACATTTTCGAAGGTAGTTATGGAATTGCTTCGGTGCCAATGTACTTTGTCTAGTCCCCAACTGTAACCTTAGGTTACATTGGAAAAATTTACAACTTATTTTCTACTATCATGACACTTTTTTATCTCTATTTTTGCAAAAAACCTGTGTTATTACAAATGTCATAGTAGTCAAAACATATCTAGAATTTAATCCATTCATTTTGAAAAATTCTTGTTTTATAAAATAATAATGTTGTTTTTAAAAATAATGTTTTATAAAGTAATAAAAATAATCATAGGAAAAAAACATTTTGTTAACCCTTAATTCGACGAAATTTTTTGTAGCAAAAATACTGTTTTTTTTTTTAGTAAAGTCATTACGTAATTTTCTCTAAACTAGTTCAGTAGATTTTTTTTAATTAATTGTTCGTTCCACGACACCATCAAATTAAGGGTTAAAACATAGTATGACATTGAAGCTAAGACCTGCATTATTTATACCCTAAACATTGGGCTGAGTAATTATTACTAATCTATGAGGCATTTATTTAGTGAAAAAATAACTATCATCAAACAAAAGTGTAAGTAAATTTGACAATTTTTATCTTCAATTTTTATACATTTTTCATCCTTTCCTGATACATTTAAATTACATATGCATATGAAAAATATTGTATAGATAATTAACAAACTCCATGTTGCTACAATTTTGCATATTAAAGTGAACTTCCGAGGCAAGTCGAGCATTTAATGTGTTTAGTTTTAAAAAAACTTTTTTTTGTCTTACATTTATTTTGAGTTGTGTACATTTGAGTTGTATAGATTTAAAAACAATACTAATATTAAGTATTTACTATCAAGAAGACATTTTAAAACAAAAAAACACTTTTTATAAATACTGAAATGAGGTAGTTAAGGAATAAATTTTCAATAAATTACTATAAAATATTGATGTCAGTTTACGTTTAATATATTTCCATGGAAGAAGTTGGTAAGTGAGTTCTTCTTTTAATTACAAGTGGACCCCGTCGTTTAATTTCTATGATTTCGCCAACATCAAGGTTGAAGGTAATTGAAAATGTAAAAAGAAAGATTAAAAGATTAAATAGCAAAGAACAAAGAGGTAGACGAAGTACAGTTCTGTTCGACAAATGATCGGTTGATGATGACGGTTGCGAGACTGAAAAGTGAGTTGATGGTAATTATAATAGTTTCCAAATATCTTGGCAACTCTTAACTTTGTGCAAGTGAAAACATGATGTTAGGTGTAGCAGGGGGAGGGCGCTGTGCACATGACTTGAGCTAGCAAGATATTTGAAAAGAACTATAATGGAAATCAAAAATCTACCAATACATACATATAGGCATTTATTACTAACACTTTTAAAGCCACAATGGTTTTTTTATAGAAGCGAATTCTCCAATATGTTGATGGCACTGAGAAACCGCAATATTTTCTATGTTAAGCTATTTTTCGATTGTAACAACTTTCCAAATGAATTTATAATGAAACATCGTATTTACAAAGACACTAAGCCGTTTTTAATTCTATACAACTCAGCAATTTAAATAGCAAATTTTATATCATACATCAGTTTTACTGTATCTTATAATTTACACAAATATACAATTTATTAAAAGTTACAAACCCATAATCAAATCAAATTATACCAAATATGTGTTTGACTACATTGACACTCATAATGGCACATCAAGACAACATCTGCCAACAAGTGTCAAACCAATCAAAACCCATAGTTGAACAAAAGGTGAGACAAATATCACTTACGTGAACACTGCGTCCGGATTCACATAAACATCACAAATTCACTGTATATTTTCAAAGCACATGTCACTATTGGGCAAACATTGGTCACTATTCAATCCTTCAACATTTGGGCAAACATTGCTGCTTGCAAATATTGGTCACATTTGAACATATGTTAGTACCAATCGGGCAAATATTAGCCATATTGGAACTTGTTGGTCACATTTTTGCAAGCGTTGTTTGTTTGGTATTAATCGACGACGATGACGTCATTAGGTTTGGCCAACAATCATTTGTTGGGCGAGGTGAGGCCGAGCGCGACTGACAGTAATCGCACCACATTCTTCTGTTCCGCCGCTTCGTTTTCTGAAAAATATTATCGTTAAGTAAATGTTAATGCAGTCCCTTAGTGAAGATTTAAAGAGAAATCATTTGGATAGAGAATAGAAACATAAGAGTTTGAAAGTGCATCCTATTATGAAACTTAAATATAAAATTCTCGTGTCACAATTTTCGTTCCCATACTCCTCCGAAACGGCTTGACCGATATTCACATGAAATTTTGTGAACATATTGAGTAGGTCTGAGAATCGGCCAACATCTATTTTTAATCCCGCGCGGACGGAGTCGCGGGCGACAGCTAGTATTTTTCTAATATTATAAATGCGAATGTTTGTATGGATGGATGAATGTTGGTTAGAGCGTATCTTCAGACCAATCTCGTTGAAATTTGGTATAGATGTAGAACATAGTCTGCAAGAACACATACTAATTTTAAAATTTGAATAATTTTTTTTCTTACCGTCTGCACCTGTAACGTGTTTCTCCAAGTTCAACTTCTCCTGCGCCACTTGATATATCCCTTCCTCTATAGTACCGGAGCTCAGCAACCTGTATATTGTTACTGGTCTTGTTTGACCCATCCTGTGACATCTGAAATAAACACCAGGAAATGTAATATAAGAATCTTACAAAAGAAAAAAGTATTAACATTGTAACATAGGTTATCCTTGTTCAATTTTTTTTAAATCATATAAACTGTATCTTTCTTTGTGTTGTGTGCGTTTTTTTTTGGATCTGTTGCACAATATTTTTTCTGAATAGTAAAATAAAGTATAAGACAGATAAAAAATCATATTTTATATATTATTAACTGGTAAACGTCCACCTAAAATAGGGAAGCGACCACTGCCTACAATCGGAGGTCGGGACGCACAGAAAAAGAATATTCACCTTCTTATATGCCCCTCCTCCGTCAAATCTACTTCCTATCCCATCCTTATATGAGTGGAAATGGAAAAGTAGGTAAATTAAGCTAACATTCACAGTATGAGACCTCACCTGTCCTCAGCCTGCTTGTCGTTGTATGGATTAAAGTCAATATCATGTATAATGACTGTGTCAGCGGCCGTCAGGTTGATACCCAGCCCGCCTGCGCGCGTAGATAGCAGGAACACGAAGATATCCTCCGCGTTGTACTGGTCTATTAACTCTTGTCTATATAGTAACAAAAGAAATAATTCATAAACTTTTTTTTTTAGATATAATTTTTTTTATTTAAATCTTGCTTGATCCTCATAAAATCATCATTATAATCAAAAGTTACAATGGGTTATTACAAGTACAGTATCATTCAAGCTTTATGGAAGCTCGCAATTTCGAACAAGACGGTTTGCAAAACAATACAATATGTAGTAAGAGCACACTTTTAGTCGTCAGAGCACACATTTTCACGTTTCTGCCCATACTGTAGCGGTTTTAAAATGCAAAGATTTTTAAACGCGCGATGTTGCACTTTGAGCGCTGGGCAAACGGAACAAAATGATTTTAAAGCGTTCGTCGCTCAAGGCGGACCGGAAATAACCAATAAATTGTGAATCTTGTATTACTACCTGTCAGTTACAGCGGTGCTGCCATCTAGTCGCAAGTACCGGTATTGACGCAGCTTGAGGTAGGGCTCCAGGATGTCCAGCATCATGGTGAACTGGCTAAACACCAGCACGCGGTGACCCTCCGCCTGCAGGCGCGGTAACATCTCGTCCAGCTTTTGGAACTTACCTGAATCCAGGATTAAGTGGTCGGGGATGGAGTGGGATCTTATACTCTGAAAAAGATGATTAAAAAAAATAAAAAATATAATTCTTGCAATCTTACTAATATTAATGCGAATGTTTAGATGGATGCATGGACCATCCAGACATGGATCTAAAACGGCTGTATGGATCTTGCTGAAATTTAGCTTAGATGTACAAGATAGTCTGGAAGAAAATGTAAATTTTAGCCTATCAAAAAAAAATGTTTTTTCTCTGAATCTTCAATACTTACAGAATAGTTCAAGGTCAACTGGTGTATCTGAAAGTCGGACATACAGAGCAGGTCCTCGTAAGCATACTGTTCGTTCTTCTCCTTGTATCCAGGGTCCCGGGCAAGGCGGGCGGCCAGCTTCCTCAACACCGGCTCAGTATAGTGGTAACGCAACAGCAGTGGATGGTTGGCCAGCTTACGCATATCCATCATCATCGATAGACCGCTCTGTTCTGTGGTCGCGTGAATCTACAATTTAAACAATCATTAAATTTATTTTTTTATAAGACAATTTTTTTTCATCCCATGGATATTTGCAGCATTTGAAAAGTATGCAATTTGAAAGTATGTATCTCGACTCAAAACCAACACTGAACTAAAGTAAACACAGGAACATTTTCATAAATACTTCTTTTGTGTTCTTATTTAAACAAAATATAACTAAACTCAGATTAGCAAGGCCAATAAAAATAACTTCAAAAGTATTTAACTAAAAAAATACATATCAAAAATTGTGTAAAAAAATATTTTTTGAACTCAAATCTCAGTATAGGTCTAAAGGAGATTAAGTTATTACATATTTTAAAGTAAAAGCAATGTAATTAAATCTACTTACAGTGCCATCCTTAGCAGAGAATGCAGCAATGAGATTCTTATAAAGCATCTGCTGTCTGCCAGACATCGGACAGAGTTCTGTGTGGTTGGTCTTCTTGGGCAGATCTTGCAGCACATCTCTCTTCAGTCTACGCAGCACAAATGGCTTCATTATCCTCTTAGCTTGTGTTATCTGACTCTCTTCGAATGCTGGCACATCATCTTCTGGACAAGTAGTTCCGTTCGTTTTATTTGCTGTTTTTACTTTCTGTAATATAAGACAAGTATTTCTTGAATTACTTACTTATTTGTTGGTTTTTACATATATGTCATATTTTGAACAAATGAGATAAGAAGATTTCTTATATAGGATAAGGTTTTGTGTAATTTTTGACAAACATTTATTTCCATCAAGTTTTTCCATTGCGGACACACCAAGACAAAATTACCCCTAATTTAGGATAGGCTCCGAGCATCTCAGTGGGGATCTATAGTGAGCTGATGATAATGTGTTTAACCAAACCCAAGAATAAGTTAAATTAAAACCAAACATACCGCGTTCTTTTGGAACAAGCTCTTGAGGTCATCCTTCTTGCCGGAGAACATATGTGGCATGACAAAGCAAAGCAGAGACATCAACTCCAGAAGATTGTTCTGCAGCGGTGTACCAGTCAGTAGCAGACGATGCTTGGACTGTAGTCACACAAAAATATATAATTTACAACAGTCATTCTACGAAAACATTACAGGGATATCTTACTAATATTATAAATATGAATGTTTGGTTGGATGGATGGATGGATGTTGAAAAGTATCTCCAGAAAGGCTGCATCTTTCTTGCTGAAATTTGGCATACATTTAGTACATTGTCTGGGAGAACACATAGGTTACTAATTACGTTTTTTTGTAATTCCTTGCAGGTGGAGTCGCTGGCAACAGCTAGTATTTAATAAATCAATTTTTACAAGCATATAATTTTTAAGTTACAAATAAAAATTAAAAAAAAATTGCAATAGTCAGTTGTTGGAAGCCTTAAAATATTATCTTACCTTTATCCTTAATAAATTGTCATATCTTTGAGTCGACATATTCTTTAACATATGAGCTTCGTCGTATATGACATAATGCATCGACGTAATTCTAAACATCTTGCGCTCTTCAGGACAACTGCTCACCATTGTATATCTAGAAAATGTAAACATGAAGTATTAATATCATTAATCTTACTAATATTATAAATGCGAATGTTAAGATGGATGTTTGTTTGAAGGTATCTCCAGAACGGCTAAACAAATCACAATGAAGAACATAGTCTGGAAGAACACATAGGCTACGAATTATGTTTTTTAATCCCGCGCGAACAGAGTCGCGGGCGATAGCTAGTTAGAGAATGTTTTAAGCACAATCTTAATAATATTACAAATGTGAATGTTTGGATGGATGTTTGTTAACAGATATCTTCAAAACAGCTGCATGGATCTCGCTGAAATTTGTCACAGATATAAAACAGTCTGGAAGAACACATAGACTGCGGTTTACAGCAATGTTGAGTGAACTAATAGAATTGTCAGTATAACCAAAAGACTCATTTAAGTTGAAGCAAAAGCTGTCTGTCCAAGCAATAATCCTTTATTATAATAGAGATTAGTACTGCAGAATAACTTAGCACAACTTACGTGGTAAGTACAACGTCAATGTTATCCAGTCCTCGTGCATACTCGACACGCAACTGACGACGCTCCTCAGGGTTGCCGTAGTATTTGCTGACATGCAGCGATGGACACCAGCGCGCCAGTTCACCACTCCAGTTGTCTGTAAATGTTTACCTCATTATTTCTATTGTCTAAAAACTTGTATGGAAAAAATTGTCGCCTCAGGTACCGTTAGTTTTAGAGACCAAAATCTCTATATAAAATATATCATACCTGTAAAATAGAGATACAATTGTTTTAAATGGGGATTTTGGTCTCAGGAACCCACCCATGGACATTCTCTATAGAAAAACTGGCAGATCTAGGTAAGTTCCTTAAAATCGTAAATCTAAGTTGCATTAAAAAATAAAAACATTGATATTTTCTTTTCAAATTACTTTGACCTCATTTGATAAATTTAAAAAAAGATTCATCAAAATCTGTCCAATGGTGGAACACGACACAATTTTTTTTTAAAGTAGTTCTTTTTTCAAAAAGATTGGTGTACTAACCTAACGTAGATGCTGGCACCACAATCAAATGTGTACCACGCGCCTGGCCAGTCTCCTTAAGGTGTGCTAGGAACGCTATCACCTGCACAGTCTTTCCAAGTCCCATCTCATCCGCAAGTATACCGGACACTCCTTGTTTGTGCAGTACCGCTAACCAGTTCAAACCCACCAACTGGTACGGAGCCAGTTTTAAACTGAAACATAGTTGTTTAGTTATTAAATTAGTAGTTGCTTTGAAACAAGAACACACTATGAATCGCACAACAGATCTGCTTAAAGTTTTTGAAAAAAAAACTGATCGTAGATTTAAAAAAAAAACTTTGAAACAAGTGAAAATTAAATTATGAATATAAAAATCTTTCCTTCAAAAATATTAAAAAACCAAAGAGATTTGTATCAATGGAAATTAGAACATGGGAGGATAACCAATTCCCAATAAATCAGCATAAAAACAAAACAAGCTGCTTTATTTTATGACTCTGACGACATCCAGACACCATTCTTTTTTGCATTTGTCAAATGTGTTTGTTATATATATATAAATACAATATCATCGTACCTTGGGTCCAAAATACTAGGCTGTTTAAGTCTGCCGGCCCCAGCGGCCACCGCGGCCTCCAGCTGCTGCGCCAAGCCTACACACTTCTTCATAAGACGCTGGATATTGTTCCTAGTACTTAATAATTCTTGAGTCGAATTTAATAACTCCGTACTCAGTAATTTGTTACTATTGAATTTTTCTACCTGAAATTATAGTAAAATATGACTTCTTTTGCAAATCCAGAACATGTTTAAGGTCTTACATGAATATATAATGGATATCTGTCGCCGATGGTCCATCGAAATTAAAAAAAATAATTAGTAGCCTATGTATTCTTCCAGGCTAAGTTCTACATCTCCATCAAATTTCATCAAGATCCATTGAGCCATTCCCAAAATAACTTATAACATCCATCCATCCAAACGCTCAAATCAGATTAGTACATTTTTCATATTACTTACATACATTACATACATACATTTAGTGTCTCTTTAGATTTACTAATTAACGATTAAGAGTATGGAATTCTGAAACAATCATATCTTACCATATCTACCCAGCCTTTGAACGGCCTTAATCCTATAATAGCTTCTGCCTTCTTCTGTGAACAGCCACTCAACAATGACAGCTCATTCATGTTACTTGTGTTCAGGAATTCAAACACTTTACGTTTGTCACCCACTAAGTCATCTGTCACTTCATTGTCAGAGTCGTCACTGAAAAGATTTTTAGTCAAGTTAAAAAAAATGGGATTCTCTCCAAAACTATAATTTTGCTTAAGACAGGTTGGACATGTGTAAATCAGCTTTAAAGTTGAAAAGATCAGGTCACATAGATTTGAAATGATGAGCTGCAGCTCACTATATTACTGGCAGCTCATGACTCTTTACAATGTGAGTAAACGAGCCACAAGCTATTTTATGCAGGTACAAATAAGCCAAGCTGTGAGCTGGTTCACTAATCGGCTTCACAAATGTGAACCGTGATCTGATCTGCAGGTCATCAATTCTGGTTGAGTTTTGGTAACTCTTTTAGGAGCCAAAAACTACATTAACCACTGCAACATTTGTCTAGTCTTCATTGTAAAGTAATATAGTCAGTAACAAATATGTAGTAGCATTATGGTTACCTGTCATATACTTTATCATCCTTTCCTTTCCTAACTCCATAGTCTTCATCCTCACTGCCACTACTGCCCCGCCTGGCTCTCCCGCCTTTAGAAGCCAGTGCTTTCTTTACCATGGTAATGGGTCCACCACTAGTCACTCTCACAATACCCATATTACCATTAGACCGTGCCATATTGCCAGAAAAACTAGGCCGTGGACTTATAAAGTTGGTTGATATGCCCTTATCATCAGTTTCCGGATCATATTTTAACAGCTCATCTCTTGTACGTTCTTCATTCCAGCCTTGTTTCACTAACGTATTCTTTATTAACTGAGAAATATAAAAATGTGAAATTAATATTCTTTTTCAAAGTAAAGGCTATAGTATTGTAGAAGCTTAGGTATAGGAAAGAACTATTTGAGTTTTCTATGATATAAATATTGTATTTTTAATTGTATAATTATTTTTGTTTACTTTAATATAAATATTGATGGCCTTTTAATTTCAAATCTAAATATTTAGCTTACCATGGGACTTATCTCCGGAAACATTTCCAGCATATTCCGAAATCTCCTCTCCTTAACAGCTGTGGTGAGCTCTACTTGACTGGTGGCAGGCTTTTTAGCTGGTGAGGGAGAATCGTCAGAATCCGAGTCCAGTACCCTTATCCGTTTATAAACAATTGGCCCATTCCTATTGGCCACAGGAGCGGGCATTCTTATAAGTGAATCTGAAAAAATATAATGAATTTTAAACTTTTATTTATTAGTGCTTTTCATGTTTATTGCAGTGAATATGTCTTCTTAGACTTTAATATTTTTTTCATCTTATTTTTACACAAGAATTTTCCCTTACTAGCTTATTAGCCAAGATAACTCAAAGTATATGCAAAAACATCCATTAAATAAGAGCATATTTGCTTTTCACAGTATCAAAGGTCTGCAGTATTTTCTGTAAATGTTTATTTAGAATCCTTAGATGATTGAGCAAGCACTATATTAAAGTTGTATGTTATTATTAACTAAGGCAAATCTACAAGATATTGTGATGGTTAAGTGCCACCATATGACATGAGACCAATGAGATGTCAATAAAAAATTGACAAAATAGGACAATTTAACATCAATAAGTAACCTAATAATTAGAGTCTGTTGTGGGCAAAAAAAAATGTGTGAATAATGCTGTAATATGTAACAAATAATATGACACAAATATAAATAAATTAAAGAATGTCATCATCACATATTGGTTATATGCATAAGAAAACAATATTTCATAAGATTACACACAAGACAGTTAGATTGAATGTAATCTATAGATGACTTATTCTTAGAACAAATAAAGACTTTTTTACGTAACCTAAATCTATTTCTGATTATTGTTGAGGTTAATCATATTTTAAGTTAATTTTTTTATTCAAAAATTATAAAAAGTTCAATTATGTTTCTCCGGAATTTCACGTGGTTAACTTCCATATCATGACATTAATTGGGATTGAAAATACTACATGGATTGACGATACTACGATTACTTTACAAATAATATACCTCAAAATTGCGTTATTTTTCATGATTTATTATTACATGTAAGAAAAAAGTAAAACCTTGAACCGTGTCAAAAACGTGGTCAATAATCATGATAGCGTAATTACACAAAGATCCCGCAACTACTGTTTTTATTACTGACAAAATATATTTACTCACGAGAGTTTGATGATGATCCTGCAATGGTCACTGTACCGCTAGACCCTGGAGCGTTAGGTTTCCTTTGAAACCTATACTGTCTTAGATAACTTAAAACACTAGGGCTAGTACTTTCAGACATTTTGACTTCTATTTTTAAGTCAATATAAGATATAAGCTAGAGTTTCTTCTAGTTTTTGCTGATTACGACAAAAAACTTACGATAATTTAGTGTCATATCATCAAATACAAGCATGAAGACAACAGAGCGGCCATTTTTATCCGCGAGACTGCAAGGCACAATTGAACCAATGACAATCGAATGAAAATGACATTTGAAGCTAAACCAATGGGGGATAGTTTAAACGAACATATTCTACTTAAGTTAATAACTAAAATTCAAACTTAAATATTTTTAGTCATTGTATTCTTTTTTATTTAACAATTTTAATGTGATTTTACTGATATTCGTCACCTTTATATGAAATCATAAAATGCTAATTAATCTCCCCAGTGTACTACTATATAAATATTGTAAAAGAATCTGTTTTAATAAGAATTATTTCAATACAAATTAAAGACGTTTCTCCAAAATATATAATTAACGACATCGAGTATGTCCAATTAACTACTTTAAAGTACAACGTTATCAATAAATTAAAAAAAATGTAGAAATAACAACAAATTATTAAATGATAATTAAGAACAATTAAAATTAAACATTCATAAAATCGTACAAAAACATCCTGTTATAAAATTTTAAAAATATTGTCTAAAATGAACTTAAGAGAATAATTGTAACCAAAAAACTAATTAAACTCGTTATTATTTCGCTATTTTTGGATATATTCATGGTCATTAATAATATTCTTCTGATATATTTTTACATTTTGACGCTTTAATGTATTACAATTTCCAAAATGAAAAAGAACACACGTAACGTAGACTGGAAAAATACCTCTATTCATTCTGTCTTGAACCAGCTGGATCTGACAGGCTGAAGCTGAAGCTTGCTTTTGCTACTCGACTTGTCACTTCAGCAAATTCAGCCGCAATTGATGTTGCTATTTAAAGTTATACAGAGAATAAATCTGTTTTTATTGGAAAAATAAAATGTTTATTTTCAGGTTTCTTTTTTCATCGCACCTGGAGGTTAGAGTATCATTAAAGTGGAAAACAACAATACCAAATTACCTCGAAAGAGCGGTCTCAAGTCTCAACTTACAACTGTTAACAACCCTAATTCCTAATGATGTTGGTGTAGGGGAGAGGGAACATGTTTAGTCCCCTCTTCCTCGGGATATGATACCAATGCAATATCCCCCATGACCAGCAACACCTAGTTGTTGACAAAAGCAGTTAATGTGGATGATGAAATTGTTTTTTTTTTTCATTATTCAAATAAAATGCTACAATCCTTCGATTTTATTGAGTCTTATTAATTAAATACAATAAAAAAACAGATGAATGTTTCACAATGTTGCCTGCTAATAGGCAAAAAACGAAAAAGTTTAATTGGAATCCGTCAAAGTCAATATTGTTGCCACACAGGTCTGTCTGTCATACTAATAGGCGCGGCCATGTTGGTCTGTGGTGAATAAAATCGAGATAATTTGCTTTTAGAGAATAAAAATTGACACAATATGCCCAAATGCGACCTCAAGACCAGATATATCCCCGCGACATTCGCCTGGACACTGCTTTTGGGAACGACTTCTCTGTTTTTTTATTTTCCGTAAGTATACAACATGTCGATTGAATACGAATTTACACATAGGGTTGGCAACTTTCACATAAGAATATAGAATTGTTTCTATTAATATCCTATTTTTACCTTTGCCCTATTTGCTGTAGCAATTGGTTTTTCCACCTTATTGTGTACTTTTGTTGCACCCTCCGCGCTGCCATTGACTAGTCATTCCAAAGGAAGACATTTATTTACATTAAGCTGCTTAAAATTCTCGTTCAATACATTTCTTTGCTGTAGCCGTATTTGTGTTGTCGGTGACCAAATTTATATAAACAAAGCTAATTGTCAGCATAGGAATGAACAAGAATAAATTCAAAAGTTTTTTTGTTAGCAAGAGTAATTCAACATTCTAAGTGCAAAGTGATGATGATCAACATCACAACAAAAATAAACATATAAAAGTAATTTTTTTTTAATCTTTAATAATTCTAATAATTATTGTGATTATTATAGGACATTAATTTTATATTCTGCTATTGTTACTGACCTAGATCAAGTTTATAACCAACATATAAACTAACCTAGGTTTTGACATAGAACCTTAAAGATAAGGAAAAAAATATTAGTCACAAATTAGATGACTGTAGATTCTAATTAAGAGCTAGTCTACTGATTGTGTTTATGTCTTCTTGACTAAATATATGAAAGATGTGTGTTACTAGTGAGCGAATTAAAGTTAAATAGCAACAAAGAAACCAAAATCCTAATGTCATTAAATTTACACATACAGCAGGAATGCTCAATATTTGTTAAGATGAAAAAAATGTTTTTTTATTTTTCTTTTATTGTAATATTGTTGTTATGTCATCAGACATATGATGTATTCTTTTTAATTTGTATTACAGATGCCAGTATTATCTCCACCGACACCCATGGGTACCTGCATACCAAGGTGTCATAACCTTTTTTGTTTTGGCCAATTTTACACTGGCCACTTTCATGGACCCGGGGGTGATACCAAAAGGTCTGTTATATCTTATTATTACAATAATATGGTTCAGTTTAGTTTGTAGTTTATAAAATAGAGTAATATCTATGCTTTGAAATCATTGTTGAACCTTTGGAGGTTGGACTATGTTATTTGACATTGAAAATCCTGTTTACAACAATGATAGCTATATGTTGTAATTATAATGCTAATATATCTCTAAAGTCTGTATATATCTGTAGATATCTTGTTTGCAGTAAACATATTGGTATCTGCAGTGAATCATATAAATATGCAAATGAATCTCGTGGTTTTTAATTCCTGAAGCCATTTATATTCCAGGAAAAACAATGCTACTAAGCATTCATATTGCAAATACTTAATAACTATGGCGTATACACTTATTTATGTACCAAAGTACTTATTTAAGCATCATCATTTATACAGAAATGTTGTTTTTGAATGTGTTAAATACTGTCACCCAAGACTATGTCTGCGCGTAATTAAAAAAATACTTAATTAGTAGTAGTAGTTTTTGAAACTATGTTCTACATCTATGCAAAATCTCAGTGAAATCAGTTGAGCCGTTCTGGAGATACCTTCAAACAAACATTCGTCCATCTAAACATTCACATTTATAATTATAGTAAGATTGATTAATTATAGACAGGTCATTACGAATTGCACACTCTAAAAAACTTACAACTGGTTATGTTTTGGTTGTCTAGATTGATATAAAGCGGTACTGACAATTGATTGCAGTTATGCTTAAAATATTTAAAGAAAAATGATTATAATGTCTACATAAATCTCTCTCATCAAATCTCTTTGTTTAAATTATATGTAGCAAAATCTATTAATCACTAGTCAATTAAGAGTGTCGGTGGCTCAGTGTTCAAACACTTGACTTGCAATCTGCAGGCCCTGGGTTCGAATCCCGCCATGTACCAATGTGTTTTTCGATTTCCGATTTACATATGTACATTTATCCGAAGTTTTTACGGTGAAGGAAAACATCGAGATGCAACCTGCACATATCTGAGAATTAATTCAAAGATATGTGTGAAGTCAACCAACCCGCACTTGGCCAGTGTGGTTGACTATGGCCTAATCACCTTTAACTTAGGGTAGGCTCTGAGCCCCTCGGTGCGGACGTATAGTGAGCTGATGATGATGACTATTCAATTATGAGATTGAGTTTTTCAACTTTGTCAATTATTGCCATTTGTGATGAACATTACTCTAATTGGAATCCATTTTGTATAGTTTGAGTAATAAGAAACATTGTATAAATACAGTTAATTACTGATTCTTAGACTGGTTTGTGTTAATAGGTTCTTAATGGAAGACCATTGTGTTTTTGTTCTGGCTACTAACATAAGATATTGTGAACTGCTTTTTTCTATGATTACACTTGTGTCTTTTTATCTCATAATTATTGTTACAGAGACAAAACTTTGTTCTTTTTTTGTTTACATTCTATGTAACTTTCAATCGCAAATGTCAAAATTTTAATACTCAAATGACAAGGAGTGTCTTTGCCAGTGGCTGAGAATTACCGTTACCATGGCAACCATTTATTTTTGCTGCTATTGGCTTGAATTTTTTGTCCCTTTCTTGCATAATAATTTACTCACCTAAGTTTGGTGTCATGTAAATATATAGCTTATAGCATTACGAATATGTAGGGCTTTTAATTACAAAAATAATTATTCAAAAATATGCCGTGATTGCTGACTTCGTCTATTCCAAAGTTTTTGTTTACGATTTATAATATTAGTATAGATAAACACATGAAAACAAATTTCTAGATAAACATATATTCCCATTAATCCCTATCAAGTATTACCAAAAAATATACAAGATAAACCTGATATTTGTTGAATGATAATACACTGATAAATAGCAACACTATGAATACTGATTGTTTGTGAATATTTTTCATTTTTAATTTGCCTTCGTCCTATGTTAATAGTAGTAGCAAATTGTATATCGAACAAATTCAGCCATAAACTGATACTAAGCTTCTTATACATAAGGCAATGTAAACCTTTGAATCCAATATTTATCCTTAGGTACTATAATATAATTAATATTTTATAAGAAAAACAATTCATTAATTTACTCATTTAGTTATTTTACTTAATTAAAATCGTTAAGCACTAATTTGAAATGCCTTTGACATGTTACTTCTAGAGTTGATTGTAACCAAATAATCCTAAATCAAATCTTACATACAAAATATGTAGTAAAATTATAAAGCTATTATTAGTTTGGTAGACGGAATATTAAACAGTTATAGACACCCTTTGAAAACAATAATATATATTTATTACAACACTAGCTGTCGTCCGCTACACTGTCCGCGTAAAAATAAAAAATAAAAACTTAGTAGCCTACTTGTTTTTCCAGACTGCAATGCAGTTGTTCTGGAGATACCTTGTAACAAACATCCATCCATCGAAACATTCGCATTTATAATATTAGTAAGAAATGAGATACATACTTTTTGTTTATTTTAATTAGATACCATTGTTGATTATGTTGACATTTAATGTCCTTTGCTTAATCAACTTAAATGTTAATACTATTACATTGAAGTGATGGCTATAGTTCAGTGGCAAGGCTACCTACTTGTGAACTTGAAGGTTACGAGTTCAAACTTCACTATCTTGAATCATGATTATAGTATTATGCAACTTTTATCTATGTTCTTTAGTTTTTTAGACTGTAATTATTGAAAGTAGGCATACTGGACTTTTATCTTGTTAAGGAAAAGTAAACGTGTTTTTATTTCAGTGTATCCTTCTAATATTATAAATGCGGATGTTTGTATGAATGGATGTTTGTTACAAGGTATCAGAACGGCTGTACGGATCTAGCTAAAATTTGTCATAGATGTGGATCGTAGTCTGGAGGAAGACATAGGCTACTTTGTTTTTTTTTATCCCGCGCGGATACGTGTGCTAAAGCTAGTAGGATATTAATGGAACTTATGTGTAATGCATGAATGCATTTATGGTTAATGAACTATCCAATAATAACTGTTTATTATTCTACTTTATGTCGTACACCTCAGCATGGTACAGTCGATAACTTAAACGAATGTTTATTGTGTTTCAAAACGACTTTTGTGTGTCAGTGTACTTCATACAGTGAACTACAGATACAGCTCTTTATAAATGGATAGGCGATTGCTTGAAAATGACAGGTTACTTCGTTTCGATTATCGTGCCCCTGTTGATACGTCATCACCGCTACAAACCGCTATCATTAGCGCCAATATGGCGAAAATCAAATAGGCACAAAATACTATGTCCAATAGCCATGCATTTATACAGGTCAGTGACTACAGCAGTAAGTAAATTCTCAATATTGTATTGTGTCAGCTCCACCTGACGAGGACCGCGAGGATGACTTCCGCGCGCCCCTGTACCGCAGCGTGGAGATAAATGGCATCACCGTGCGCATGAAATGGTGCGTCACCTGCAAGTTCTACCGCCCGCCGCGTTGCTCGCACTGCTCAGTATGCAACCACTGTATAGAGGTCAGTTATATTACTGTTAAATTCATCAAATCGTAAGCCGAATAGGCATTAATTAAGCTTATATCGTGTACTATCTTATATCAATAAATAAAATCTTTATTTTTTTTTATTGAATAAGCTAACGCTTGGCCATGATCCCACCTGATGTTAGGTGATGAAGTGGTCGAAAGATGGTACGCGCTAGCTTAGTTAATCCATAACATCCGCAGAATCAAAGGAGGACAACCAAGATATTAGTAGCTTAACAATTGTTATCGTTTTTTTTCGTATTATAGTGAACTCGTCAGTCAGTGGCCAATGTATGAACGAATGTATGATTGTTGTTCCAGACATTCGATCACCACTGTCCGTGGGTGAACAACTGCATCGGGCGGCGGAACTATCGATTCTTTTTCTTCTTTTTAATCTCGCT